ATTTCAGACAAACTCCAGATAAAATTTATTAATTAATCAATTAATTAATTAATTTTTATTTTTAGAATAATTAAATGTGGGTTTTCACACTCGGTGAGATACTTTGACTGTAATATGTCCCAAAGTTGCTTTGTCGTCTCCAGATGTTGATACACATTGAACAAAGAGTTTGACAGCGCATTCAGAATGTGTCCTTGACAAATGTAGTCGTCATTCTCCCATTTGGTCATGGTACAGGTTTGCTCTATAGTCTCGTCTTCTTGCTCTACCGGATAGGGAGTAGTCAGCACATAGACCACTTTGAGAGTGGTGAGCAAAAAGTGCATCTTCTTTTGCCAACGTTAGAAATTTCCTCCATCAAAACGGTCAAGCTTCATGAAATCTTGAGTCATTTTCTGAATAGACATCGCCATATCTAAATATTATTTTTAGATTGTTGGAACAATTCGTCTTGAATTCTTCAATTGGTGGTATTCGGGTTTTCAAAACTTAGCGATGAACTTGTTTATGTAGAACAGAAATATGATGCTTCAACTCGCGTTACTTAGTCGCTTTCCTAAAGACAATATTTGCACCCATCAAAAGGTGTGCAGGGGTTATAGCAAATTCACCTCCAAGATACAATGAAGCCTGATCTAAAGATCAAGTCTATCGGCATCTGCACTGACAACAATAGATCAAAATACTCTTGATATAATCAAGAAAACCAAGACAATGATAATCAAATCTGCAGAACTTGATTACCAGTAAGAAAAATAGAAATTTGCTTAAGAAACTCTTGATCAAAAACTCAAAATAAAAGGGAGAGCGAAAGAGAGAGAAAGAGAGAGAGAGAATTGCAGGAAGAATGCTTCTGAATTTTTTTTGGATGGAATGAAATGGCTGATTTCGCAGCCTATTCATGGGCCTTGATCGAATGGTCATGTCCCGTGATCGCATCCGATCAGATTTGATCATTGGATCAACGATCTACAGTGTAGATCATTTTCACACCGAATAGATACCTTGACTAATCACACCTGATCACGATTGGGTGTCATCTCATCCGTACGATCGCGCGCATCTCCAATCAACTGCTATGTTCAAATCACTCTAGATCGGACATATAACTGTTCGATCGGTTGGTTGACTCACCGCCAACGGACGCCACGTCATTACCACGTGAAGCTGACTATATTCCACGTCACCCATGCCACATTGGATCCACGTCATCGCTCCAACCTGTCTAATGCAAGTAGGAAAACGCCCTTATGGCACCTTGCATCATCAAACGCCACACAGCCCACTGCCTATGCCACGCACGCGTGTGTAGATGGTGCAAAGCACCATCCTTGCGGTGTGGGTGCATGCACGCTAGCTTTCACCTCACAATTTTATATTCAAAGGAATATTCCATGTAATACTTTATTAAGTGCTCCATGTTTTCCTCTCTTCCTGATGTAGGACAAAGCCCCAAGCTTATTTCATGCTTTCTAAAAAAAAAAACATGGAAGGTTTTGAAAACACCCAAAAATAAACTATAAATTTTAAAAACCGTTTTGAAAATTCCCCAACACAAAATATAAACAATAGGCTATGTTAGATTTATCAGTGACAATTATATGCACCTTTTGGAAGTGATATTGGTTGTTGAACTCAAATGATGAATGTGTGACTTTCTAACTTTCACATTTGGATTAGTTTAGCCATAGCTTTGATTTGTACTGAGTTTTGCATATTGGGTTGAGATCACCTAGATGATATGAGGCTAGAAATATTCTGTTTCAATTTTTTAATTTTTAATTTTTTTTATTTACCCTGTTTGGCAATGGCTTAAATAGCTTCTTTTTTTTTTTCTTTTCTTTTTTTTGAGCCAAAAAAGTTGTGCCTGTTTGGGAATTAAGTTTTAAAGCTACTTAAAAAGCATTTGCCAAACACAACCTGAAAGAATAGGCTGAAGAATGAAAGACTTTTTCAGATTTTTATAGCATAATTGATGATTCCTGCTCATAGTTTTCCTCATAATTTTAACCACTTTGTATCTCCTGTTGCATATGGCTTACTTGGAGCTCATGTCCAAAATCCAACTTCATAGTCTTAGCTGCATTTTTGTATTTTTAATTTGTTTTTTACCAAGGAGGCAACGAGAGGACTTGAGCCATTGATACTCACATCAATGTGCGAATTAAAATGCAATGTGAAGTTTAGGTAGGCTAATTGGGTAGTATACCTATCTCTAAACCATTACGGCCATGTTTGTTTGGACGGACTGGATTAGGTTGGATTAGCATTCCCATGACTAATAGTCCTAGGACTACGAATCCTTTAGATTATGTATCCTATCTTATGTTTAGATTGAATTAAGATTATAAAGAGGACTAATAGTCCAGGCTTTGGTTTAGTCTTTCAATTTATATCCCACCCCTTTCTGTGGGATTGAATAGTCCATCATATGTGGGATACCATATCCAGATGGATTATTAGTCCGTACTTCAATTGTTTACCCAAATATCGGATAAATAATTTTATTAAACTATTAGTCCAATCCCAAGCTCATGTCCACCCAAACAAACATGGCCTAGATGTCTGTTACCTGCTTCCAAATCTTTCTTCATTTATATATATATATATATACACACTTACAAATCTTATCCTGAAAACTCTGTTTACATAATTGTCTCAAGTGAAGAAGTCAAGCATCCAAACAAAGAAGATCTTCAATACCACTGTTTCTTTGTTAAACTCTCACCTCTGTTCATTGTTCAACATAGTTCTCAATGTCATAACGCGTTATGATTTGAAAAAAAGAGAGAAACAAAACTAATATTTGTGCATATTGTACAATTTGATTTAAATAAACCTCATTATGTGACAACTCATGCTGCCTTCCCTTGGTCAAAAAAAAAAAAAAACCAGTTTCTTTCACACAAGGTTAGGGGTGAGAAGCGGCGCAACTCGGTCTTGCAGCATGCATGAAACAACACAACTCGGTTACTTTTACTGATAATTATTTTTATTATTAGGGTATTATATTACGAATATTGCGATTGGACTACTGGGATATAGATCACATGATCGATCCAAGTTGAGAAAAATCTCTCACTGATTGTGGAGATTGCGAACAAACTGGTAGGAATTTTTCTCTCTCAAGGACTGAAAAATGTGATGGTAATGGATATGGTTGAGATGCCTTAAGCTGCTTTATTCCTTGTTCACTAGAGTTGACTTGCAAAATGTGTTTGAGAGCCAATCTTTTTTTGTATGTTTGGATCAGATCAAGGGCACCTTTTTGGGAATCAAAACGATATTGTTGTGCCACTCAAACCTCTCTCTCTTTCTCCTCTCTCTCTCTCGCTCTCACACACACACACACACACACATTTTGTGTCCTATAAATAAGGCTCTTAGCCCCATCTTGAATGATCAAGCCAGCAAGAAATGTCTTCTGAGTTCAATGGATATGTATAAGCTTCCACGGCATTGGTTGTTCCCTCTCCCTCGAGGGCTTCTAATCTTGCTATATGCAGTATGGTTGATACTTGATAGTTGATACATAATAAGGTTTGCTTATCATCAAACACTTGAGCATGAACTATGGCAGACTAGAAGCACTTGGGGAGCTGGAAACAAACCTTGTCTTGCCTAAAAAATGTCGGTGACACAGTGCCTAATCTTCCCGAGGCAACCTTTGCTCACTCTCCCTCAGGGGCTGCCACCACTTGGCTCTCCAAAAGCCGAAAAGGGGTGGAATCCTTGAGAGAAGGTAAACAGAAGTTGTTGCGATCTTTTCTAGAGTCTCCAATCCATGCATGGCAACTCCATTGGAGTTTTCCTCAGTTTGTGGGTATGTAATGGTATGTGTCTTCAATCCTCCCGTGGCTGCCTCTGCTCACTTTCCCTTAAAGGCTTCCACCATTTGGCTCTCCAAAAGCCGAAAAGGGGTGGAAGCTTTTAGGGAGAATTAATAGAAGTTGTCGCCATCTTTTCCAAAGTCTTCGGTCCATGCATGACAACTCCACTGCAGCCTTCATCGGTTAAAAAATGCCAGTGCCTAATCTTCCCGAGGCAACCCTTGCTCATTCTCCCTCAAAGGCTTCCACCATTTGGCTCTCCAAAAGCCAAAAAGGGGTGGAAACCTTTAGGAAGAACGAACAAAAGTTGTTACGATCTTTTCCAGATTCCCCATTCCATGTATGGCAGCTCTATTGCAACGTTCCTCGATTTGTGGGTATGTTGTATGTCCCTTCTACTGCAAAAAAATTCTATTATCATCAAGTTCTGTTGGGAAACATAATATAAAAATAAATGTGCTTTGCAAGTTCCATAAGAATTATCAATTTAGCTTTGAGGTCAAGAAACTCTTGTTTTAAATAGCAATATTGAGAGATGTATCAATATTTGTTGCGGTATAACAATATTGTGAGTATCGAGCAATATCGGAAATGAGATATTGCACTCGTGAACTTTTGAAAATCATCAGTTGTTAAAAAGAGTTTAATAGTAGTTGAACCAACTGTATCTCAGCTATAAACCAATATGTATTAGGAACCGGTTGATACTCATGCAATTCTCATGTCAATTAATTTACCGAACCGTATCATCAAATATTCAAAAGACAAAATATTTCTTGCTTGATAGGTACATATCAGCTAATATTTAAAACCATTATAATAATAATAATAATGTCAAGTTCTATTGGGAAAATGAAAATAATTGTGTTTTGCAAGTTACATATATAGTCTATCTAGTTTTGTTGATCAAGAAACTTAATTTTCAAACAAATTTGTTTTTGAGATTTCCTTCCTTGGTGGATTTGGAACTTCTATTATCATTTGTGTTGGTTTGAATTTGTTGATCACTGACCAATGTGCAAGAAAAACAAGGTTGGAGATCAAACTTGATTCCACATACATGTCGAAAAGGTTGCAAAGTGAACAACTGATAACATGTATACATATATTATTTATTTATTTTGACTAACTTTCATGTTGATATAGCACTATGTCAGTTGTTAAGACTGGCTCATCAGAGACATGGTGAAATTGGAATGATACAGAGAAGATTAGCATGCTCCTTCGTCAAGATGACAAGCACATATCAAGAAATGGTTCAATTTTTAAAAATTTTTGCTTTATGTGTTTTCGGCTTGTATTCAACTTCTTGATGATTAACTTGTTACGTAAATAAATCATGTTTGAATGTATTTTAATATTAAATTTTTGAGCGAAGTTTGAACAATATGTTACTTTGTTCAACTCAATTATATGTGTTATAAAAAATCAAACTACCCAAGTTTAACTCGATTAAAACTCATTTGAGATGTCTGAACACATTTAAAACTTGTTAAGTTTAAGCAATTTACTATTTGGCTCAACTCCAGTATATGCACTATAAAAAAGAAAAAGAAAAAACTAAAAATAATACCAAGCAGACTATATAGTGAATAAATTGGATAGCGATCGCTCAATTATAATCAACTTGGCCGACTCAAACCGCTCGAGCCGTCTTGTGTCGACAAACTCTAAGATCCAACAAGTTGACAAACTCTAAGATCCAACAAGTTGTGCATCACTGTTGGAGCACCAAACAGCTCGAGTGGTGGTCACTATTCTTTCACTTAGATCTAGTTTTTAAGCCAAATTGGATTGGATTCACAAGATAACAAAGACTATTTACAATTGACGTAATTATAACATATATAAAGTGTTTGTCAAACAGGATTGTCAAAACTAAGTCCTACAAGTCCTATCACAAGCTGCAAACTTTACAACAATCCCCTCTTTTGTGGGTTATCAATCCTTCCTATGCAGCAAAACAACACTTCACACAATGCTTTAAAAAAAAAAAAAAAACAGCACTCAAAACACCTTCCTATTACCAGAAGTCATTGCAGGAACACTTCCCTTCTCTGAAATGGGGAAACCGAGCACCTTCTCTGAGGAGGATTTCGCGGCATCTTATCAAAGAAATATATTTTGCTGCAGTATGACAGTCAGAACAGACTCTCGTGTTCTTAATCACCTGAATAGGTGCTCTCTTTCTCGTCTTGATTAGTCCATACGTAATGGCCAATTTCTCAGTGTGGGTAAGCAACACCTTCTCCTTTTCCACGTGATCAATGTTCTGGTACACACATTTGATGTCAGGGACATATCCCAATCTTTTCATTTGGGAAATTAGTTGATATAACTCGAAGTATATCTCTCCTTCATCCGGGTGAGCTTTTCCTCTGGTATAGAACATGTGAACCATCTGATTGATTTGTATCCAGCTCCATACATGCCCAATTTTCGCCCCTGCTGTAACATCCATCATCAACTCTCTAACACAGTCCGTATCTTCCCATCTGTTCAAAGTCGCGTACGAGTTCATCATCAGAACATAATTAGCAGGATTGTGTGGTTCAAATTTGAAAAGTCTCTTTGCTGCTATCTCTGCAAGCTCTAAATTTTCACGGATCCGACATGAACCAAGAAGAGCACCCCAAACCGTAGCATCTGGCACCATTGGCATCTTTTCAATGAAATCCCAAGCTTCATCAAGATACCCTGCCCTTCCAAGAAGATCAACCATGCACGAGTAATGCTCAATTGTGGGGATTATATTGTAATCTGCCTTCATGATGTCGAAATACTTCCATCCTTCATTGATTAGACCTGAATGCTTGCAACCAGAGAGGAGAGCAGTGAAGGTAATCGCATCAGGCTGAATACCTGCTGCACGCATTTCATCAAAAATTGAAATTGCCTCTTTTCCTCGGCTGTAAATGGCAAAACCCATGATCATGCAATTCCAAGAAGCCAAAGTTTTGGTTTGAATGGTTTGAAAAACCTCATGGGCAGTATTTAGACTGCCACATTTGCTGTACATGTCGATAAGAGCTGTAGTTACAAATACATCTTCCGTGAAGCTATTTCTAATTCCCACGCAGTGTATTTGCAGTACTAATCCGAGAAGAAAAAAGGGAGCAAAAGGCTGTTTACTATGTAAGCAAAACCTTGGCCAGCGCAGAAACAAGGTATCTACCACTGGAGAAATTAATGCTAGCCTTAGTAATGGCTTCAAAGAAGTTGAACCATTACTTTCAGGCGCATAAAATTGTGGTCTTAACAGAGCATCCATTGAAGTCCTTGTTACAGCAAGGAGACTTAATAGGAAGGATAGCAAGATGGGCCGTAGCCCTAGGTCAGTATGACCTGGAGTTCAGGTCGAGAACAGCAATTAAAGGCCAAGTTTTGGCCGACTTCGTAGCAGAATTCACCCCCAAAACCATCGAACATCGGGCTCCGTTGAGCCAGGATAAGCATTGTCCCAGCAAGCAAGGAGAATCCCAGCCAAAGACAAAAGAGCAAAGGAAGGAAAAACTCAGACCCTGCAGCATCTACATCGGCGACTCATTCAGACTGTTTGTCGATGGAAGTTCGAACCAACAAGGAGCAGTGGCAGGAGTACTGCTGATATCTCCAGATGGAGAAATAATAGAACAGTCCATCCGTCTGGGGTTCCAGGCCTCAAACAATGAAGCGGAATACGAAGCATTAATTGCAGGACTAAAACTGGCAGCAGCAGCAGAAGCAGATGAGGTAATAGTTTTTTGTGATTCACAACTTATTGTTAACCAATCAACAGGAGGATTTGCAGCCAGAGACGAAAGGATGTCGGCATATGCAAAAGAGGTCATCAGATTAGCAGCCCTATTTCAGAACTGCAGATTACTCCAAGTTAGCCGAGATGACAACACCCACGTCGACGCGTTGGCTAACCTGGCAAGTTCAATGCAAACTGGAAAAACAAGGACAATTATGATCGACTATATGTCGGGCCCGAGCATAGAATCACGGAGCACAGGGCAGGAAGCAATGTGTGTGGACATGGGGCCAAGCTGGATGGATGCAATTGTTGCATTCCTGAAAGAAGGAAAGCTGCCAGAAGATCGTAAGGAGGCACACAAAGTCAGACTGAAATCGGCAAGATTTTTTCTAACAGAAGATGGACACCTCTACAGAAGGTCCTTCACTGGACCACTTTTAAGGTGCGTACACCCTTTGCAGGTTGAAGATTTCCTGTATGAAATTCATGAAGGAATTTGTGGAAGCCATGCTGGGGGCAGATCATTAGCCCACAGGGCCATTACCCAGGGGTATTGGTGGCCCGACATGCAGAAGGATGCTGAAGCCTACGTAAAGAAGTGTGAACAATGCCAAAAGTTTGCACCTTTGATACATCAGCCAGCTGCTGACCTAAACCCAGTGTCCAGCCCTTGGCCGTTTGCCCAATGGGGCATGGATCTGGTTGGGAAACTTCCCCAGGCAACTGGGCAGAGAAAATACTTGCTGGTGGCAACAGATTACTTTACAAAGTGGATAGAGGCAGAACCTCTTGCCAAAATCCAAGATGTGGACGTCAAGAACTTTATATAGAGAAATATCATCACCAGATTTGGGATTCCAAGAGCAATAGTTGCCGACAACAGAACACAGTTCTAGAATGAAGAGGAAACTCAACTTGTTATGGACAAGAGTCCTAGAGAAAAGAGAAGACTTCTGCTGATGATAAGGATAAAGCTCTTAGGGAGTTTATCTTTTGAAGAGTCCAACGCCAGTATTGAATTGAAGTCCATAGAAGTCAGGCTTTTAGTAGGACTTGGATTGAGTAAACTATAAAAGAGAGGCACCCCCACGGGTCTAAGGTACGCAGTTTTATGCATTGAGTAGTGAGTTTAGCACTTGATTATCTTTGAGAGATATACTGACTTGATCGTCGGAATGCCCCCGGGTGGAAGAGCCACCACCGGAGCCTT